GAGGGGCTCGGGCTCCTGCCGCCCGTGCCCAGGCCTGGGGCAGCCAGGCAAGCGCCAAGCCGCTCGTTTTTCCCATTCTGACTCAGCGACCCAAACTGCTGCCTCCCTCCCCCGCCGCCACCATCTTGGAGCCCACAGCAGCGCAGGCCGCACCAGTCCTAGGATAGAGTGATGCGGTAGTATTTTAATTACTGTTTCAGATGTTCTTTATGTGTGACCATCGTGCGTGCCTACAAATAATTGAGTTCTTACAAAGCTTTCATGTTTCACAGCGGGTTCCTAAATATACGTAATTCTTTAAAAAAAAAAAAAAACTTCCAACATGGAAACAGCAGGTGTTTCTCTCGTAGATTCAGGATCCTCAGGCAGAAACTTACTTCTCAAGTGCAATGCAGGCAGCTTGGTGGTTGTGTTTTCTTAAGTGAAGGCACATCCTGCAATGTGTAAAAACGCATAGCAGCCTACTCAGAGATGGGGGAGGATTTAAGCCATTGCTATTTTCAAGTTCTCTCTTATAGATTGCAGAACATGCGGAAAACCCTTGTGAGATCATCCTTAATGTTACATTTAGGTTCCTATATTTTACAGCAACTTATCATTAAATCACACTATGTAATAAATATAGCTGTAAAGCAATTCATATGATGAACAAATAAAGGTGGAATCCAACACGGGGGCCAACAAGCAACTCAGCTAAGGGCACAGATAACTAAGTTACCCTGTCCTTTCATGTTATTTTCCTACCATGCTAGTATGTATCAGCAGAGTTCAACATACAAAAAATAAAAAACAGAAGTAAAAAAAAAAAGTGTCAAAGTTTTAAGAATATTCTATGCCCAGCTCTTAGGCTGCAATGTATTATTGGATTTATTATTTATATTTGTTTCTCCAAGATGTGCCAACAGTTTTAAGCTTTTTGTTTCTGCAGTTAATACATTATGTCCTGAGTTCCCTTCCTCTCTAGGAAGCTGTCTTTGAACTAGTGTGTCCCTAACATTGCTATAATTTACAAAGTATTATAATCAAAACAATTTTTTCTCTCTAAAGAGAATATTTGTGCATAAGCTAAGTTTCCAACTCCTATGCTGTTTGAATCATCATCCCCTGTTTCTAAACTGCTATCTCCATTGTATGTAAAGGACATACTAAACACCAAACATCTTTACATTTTTAGCCTGAAGAGGAATTTTTTCAGTTACTGCTATTGCCTTTCAAAGTTTTGAAAAATTGCTCTACTTCGTGAGAACAGCTGATTTCACCCATTACAGAATGGGCAGTGCTTTGGCAGCCAAGTCTGAGCTCTGACCTATACCTGGAGTTGTATCAACTACAGAAACTTGCAGTAATAATGAAAAAGAAGGATATGCCCATCTCCTTCCAGGTCCCTTGCTTATACAAGGAGCCACTTTAGGCTCAGCATACTCCGGGGCTCACCGTTGCAGGCTGTTCTGAGAAGGGGAGAAAAGACTGAATCGTCTGGGAGATAAACTTCTCAGGTTGAAGTATTTACTCTGTTCCAGTGTGGAACAAAAGCTGGCTTTTGAGCGCTGAGCTATGCTCCCTGTTTGAGTCTTCTGCAAGCCTGGGAAGATGTGGAACGCTATTATGTCCTGCCAGACTCCTTCCTCAGCAGAAAGGGCAGCAGGGAGGACCAGGAAGACCAGCTAACAGCAGATGAGAAGTTGTGATGCCCATCTGGCCTGGCATGTTATATGCAGTTTACCAAGATGGAAGCCCCTTTTACATATACTTTTTCAAGTCATGGGCAAGGACCCTCTCTCACTATGGTAACACTGGGTGGCTGGACTGACAGAAAGCCGGCAGTACAATCTTTGACTGAGAAAACAGCAAGTAAATGGAAGAACACCTGAGTTCTGTCATTTTTAAATTCATGATTTTTGGGTTCTAACTTCCCTTGGCAGCTCTAACCCAGCTGCTGAGTCCAGTTACAAGCTGTGGCAGCACCTGCATCCTTAGACCCATGCCCCTCCTCAGCCCTTAGGCTGCTCTGGCTTTCAATCGACAGGCCTGGAGAGATATCCCTCGAATGGCTCCCAAAGCTTTGTTTACCAGGGAGACATTGTATTGCAAGCGCCTTTCGGTACCACACTCTAGTCTTCACATCTTATTTGATGGAAAAAAGAAGAAAAAAACTCACAAAATCACCTTGGAAATAAGGCATCCCAATTTTAACTACCCACCCTTTCACAGTACTGAACAAAGGTTTGCTTTGGAAGAAAAATCTTGTTCTCTGCTATCAAGCCTACCGAATTGCAGAAAACCAGCTATGAGTTTTTGTAATAAGAAACTGGCCAAGCATATCACGGAAGTGAAATGCATTAGTCACCCTCTCCTGCTATCCCTCTGCCCCCACCACCACTAAGCCCAGGGCTGCAGCAGTACAAGTGCACTAAAAACCTCCGTAAGACTATACAGATCCCTGCTGACCTACA